GCTTGTGGGCGGAGCCAATGGAAGACCCCGCTCGGGCGGGCGAGTAGTGAGCGGTCGGACTGGTCTGCCCGTGTTGCTGCGTGCTGGGTTCGTCGGAATAAGCCGGCCGGGGGCCCTGACCGGTGATCTCAGTGGGTATAGCATCAGCCTGCGGACTGAAGGGTCCCAGGTTCGATTCCCGTCAAGGGCATGTACCTTGGTTGCCGGCACATCCCCCAGTAGGGAGTGTGCAGGAGGCAGCTGATCGATGTTTCTCTCTCATCAATGCATCTAACTCTATCCCTTTCCTTTCCTCTCTGTAAAAAAATCAATAAAATATTAAAAAAGAAAGACGGCCCTGGGGAGGGTCTCCCCAGACCTGGGAGACTGTCTCAAGGCGGCTTGGGACCGGAAGCTGGTTCCTGAGCGGGCAGAGTAGGCGCGGAGCATCCGCCTGGTCCCCGGGTGGCCGGCTTCTGGTCCTGGTGGGCTGGGCAGGGATCTGCTGGGCGTGCGGTTACAATGGTTACAACGCGCGGCCGCTCGGTGCTGCCGAGAGGTGAAGACAGTGATTTCGCGACCTGCTCAAGGACTCAGTTTCGCTGTAGGAACCAACGTGTCGCCGTCCCCGTTCCCTGGAAGGAAGACGGCCAGCCCCTCCGAGCTGCTTCACTCTGCCTTCACAGAAGGTCGGGCAGGGGTTAAGCAGGCCTTCTAGTGACAGCTCTCTGCCTGTTAGGGCTTCTCATACTATGCACCCCCAGGCTGCTTTTGCCCATCCCCAATATGAAGGGTGGTCAAATCAGTCCCTACTGGTGGATGAAAAACAACCTGATCCAGAAGCCCCTGCCCCTGACCTTTACTTGCTTGGAGCCCCAGGTTCTGCAGCTCCTCCCTCTGAGCGGCTGGGCAGGGCCTGCTCAGGTAGCAGCTGCTAGTGATAGCATGACATTGTGTTACCTTGACCCCACTAGGCCTCAGCCCCTTGATTTGCGGGCCTAGGGGACTCATCTCTGCTGGGGTCCTACAAAAGGGGTGGCCACATTGCCCACCACCCCTCCGGATGCTAGGGCTTACTTCAACCATTCAAGACCCCCATGGCGCTAGCTCTCACAGAAGATGATTCCCACCCCACGGCAGGCTGGAGGCTATCCTGTAGCTGAAATAAGTCAGGAAAGGCCAGGGCTCTATGTCCTCTGGGGGTCCTAAAAGAATAAGAGACAATTTTTTTCCCCTGGGGTGCTGGGCAAGTGATTTGCCCCAGGTAACACGTAAGTGTGAGGCCAGCTCAGGATCTGGGCTCCTAAGTTGGGGGCTCTGTTGTGCCACTTGCCCAGGCTTGCAAGCTGTGTTCTGGACAGGGCCCTTGCTCAGAGAGGGCCAGGGGACAGCTGATGCTCGGTAGGCAGCAGCCCAGGCCTGCAAGGAACAGGTGAGTGACCAGCACTGAGATGGCATTAGGCCATTTCTCCTGTCAGCCTGCCTGGCACAGCTTGTCCTGGACCACCCTTGCCCCATATGCCCTGTGTTCCTCACCCTTGGGTGGAGAGATGCTCCCTCAGCCAATTAGGAGCCCAGGCCCCTCTGGCTTCTAGGTATCAGGAAGAGTTAGAAACAGCCTGGGATGGTGGGACAAGAATCTTCTGGAGGAAGCTAGTTCTGGAGCCCAGAATCCACACTGGGACAGTAGTTATTTCAAATCTGAGCCTTAGGGCCCTCACTGGAGTGGGACTCTTCCCCAACCCCAAGTGCTATTTGAGGGTTGCAGAGGCCCTGTGGATTGCAAGGGGATGGTCAGTGAAGGTCCTGGTTCTGGGCTGTGGGAGTGAGGGCCACAAATCAGGATGTCTCAGCTGGGGTGGGGAGGGGAAGTGGGGACCTGGAAGCTTGGGTCTGTCCCCTTCCCCTGCCTTCAGAAATCTTGCATGTACGACTGGAACAGGGACCATCTCAGTCTTAAGAGCAACCATGGGCGGTTCTGCAGAATTGAGCGTTCCACCCCTGACTCTGGAGCTGGGGACAGGTCCAAATGCCCCAAGAGCTCAAAGGGTCAAACTCATTTGAAACGATGAGATGGTGAGTTTGTCTGTCAAACGATCCTCACACATCCCACAGGTCCCATTCCACAAACGGAGCTTTGAAGGGAGGAGAGGGCAGCCCAGCACATTAGGACTCCAGCCTTCCCAAACCAGGCAGACCTTGTTCACTTTGCTCATTGCTGTGGGAGAAGTGGATTCTTTTGGGGTCATGTTTTAGATTAAGTTTCAGGTTTTTTAAAAAAACAAAACTCCATTATAAAAATAATATGGAAGCATGTAGTCTGTTGAGATCTCACTTCCAGGTGTATCCTCTTGGTTCAAATAAATTTTTATAAAAATTTAAAAAATACGTGCTCCTTATAGGATCCCCCCGACACACACTATTGCTCCCAATGGTCACATGTTAAATTCTATTATGAACACAATGCAGGTAATCCCCACAGTTGCCTCCTGTTCTTTTTTTTTTTTTTTATTGATTTTTTACAGAGAGGAAAGGAGAGAGATAGAGAGTCAGAAACATCGATGAGAGAAACATCGACCAGCTGCCTCCCGCACACTCCCCACTGGGGATGTGCCCGCAGCCAAGGTACATGCCCTCGACCGGAATCGAACCTGGGACCCCTCAGTCCGCAGGCCGACGCTCCATCCACCGAGCCAAACCGGCCTCGGCGACTCCTGTTCTTGAAGTGAGCACATGTCAGATATAGGCTGCTCTGTGCGTCATGGATGCTGCTGTAGTCACTGCGGATTGGAATCTTTTCCCCTCCCTCACCCATTTATTTTTGAACAAAGAGGCTTGTCTGGGGTGGGTGGTAGTGATGTCTTTAGCACCCTGCCCCTCCGAGGTGCTGTGCTGGGCTGGGGTGCTATGGGCAGCCTGGCCAAGCCCCACATTTAGCAATCACTTCCATGCTCTGAGGCTCCAGTTCTCCCTGTGTCTGGCCAGGTGACTATTTAGAGATGTCAACCAATGGTCCTTGGTGCCAATTTCATGTTGACAAGAATCCCTAGTTTGGGGTGCAGTGAAGAAGGGAACGTTGTTTAGTGCAAGATAGCCCAGTGTGCATGGCTATGAAGACAGCATGGTTGTGAGGTAGCCTTGGGGTCAGGACCCTCTCTGGCCAAACAGCTATGCCGTGCTCCCTGTGGGTCTGCTCTGCTCTGGTGAGAAATCTCTAGTGTTTCAGGGAAAAACTCAATCTTCAGTGGAAATTAAAAGTTCCCTCTGTGGCCCTGGCCCATGTGGCTCAGTTGGTTGGGTGTCATCCCATGCACTGAAAGGTTGCTGGTTCAATTCCGGGTCAGGGCACATGCCCAGTTGTGGGCTGGGTCTCTGGGTGGGGAGCATGCAGGAGGTAGGTGATTGATGCTCTGCTCCCACATCTACGTTTCTGTTTCTCCTTCTCCCTTTCTCTCTTAAAAAAAAAAAAAAAGTGGCCCTAACCTGTTTGGCTCAGTGGATAGAGTGCCAGCCTGTGGACTGAAGGGTCCCAGGTTCGATTCTGGTTAAAGACATGTACCTTGGTTGCAGGCACATCCCCAGTAGGGGGTGTGCAGCAGACAGCCGATCGATGTTTCTCTCTATCCCTCTCCTTTCCTCTCTGTAAAAAATCAATAATATATATATATTTTTAAAAAGTGCCCTCTCTGAGCCATAGGGGAGCTGGCTTATACCAACACAGGTCCTGTCCCTGGTCCCTGAGTGTTCCATCCTCATGCAAATGAGGACTCCAAATTTTTGTGATTCAATTGGCCCAAAGGCACTATTCCGATTGATCAAAATGGAGCTGCTCTGATTGGTCAATAAAGAAGCTGATGGGATATTGCTGTGCAGTTCTGATTGGGTTGGGAAAGCCTCAGTCCTGTTGGTCGAAATAGGATTCCAAGGGCTGGCTCAGATAGCAGCATGGTACAGGCAGGCAGCTGGGTGCAAATGCTGGTAGTTGGGTGCAGGCTGCTCACTGAAGTGCAGTTTTCATGAGAAGCCTCAGTTTGGAAATGGCCGTTAGGCTCCGTTTTTTGTTTGTTTGTTTGAAATTTGAGCCCAGTCAGCGACCAGGAGCCCTTCTTTCTCACAGTCCACAGAAAGTAGGAAAAATGCATAGCCTTAAGAGCTAACATCAGATTCTTCTAAATAAAGGCAAGTCTGTGTCAGGAAAATACCTTTTGGGTATGTGAGTTGCCCAGGGCATGGCTGCTGCAGGTGTCTCAGCCTGGATGTGGAGGTGTAAGAGGGAAGGGGAGGCAAGTCAGTGGCTAAGGAAACGAGGCAGGGATCCGGGTGGGTGAGGGCCAACAGAGAAGTCACCTGGGTGTGGAATGAAGGGCGTGTTGCGTGAGGACGCCTTGATCATTTTGAACTTTTTCGTGTGGATTTTTCTGTCTCTATGACTCTCAGGTTTTCAGTAAATCCTCTGACAACTTCCTGTATACTTTCCCTTTTCAGAGCCCCCTTGCTAACGCTAGCATTTGTCTTGCTATTCCAGCCCATGCATCCAGTCTTCATTGTGACCATTTACTGGCTTTTCATTTTTAATAGTTGTCCCTTCAAACATTTCAAGGTCTCTGGCAGGTTCTTTCACACTCCCTTTGTTTCACCAATGCCTATCCCTGTCCCATGGCTTATTTCCAGCCCCCGTGTGTGGCTGAGATTTTAACGCCTTGGATTGGAAAGTCCTCATCTGATTCCTCGACTGGCTGACTGCTCAGCTGTGGTTTGGTGTGTTGAGTGGCTCTCCTTCTCATACTTCACTGCTTCTCCCGTGAGCCGGGTCTTTAGGTCGGAAGTTCCAAGTTCTGCCCAAGGCATCTGACCTAGAACAGGGGGACTTAACACTAGTAAAAGTTGGGGGTGGTGTTGCGAGAAAAGTACCCCAGGGATGAGCCTGGACTGCACAAGACACGGCCTGTGGGACACAGGAAACCTTATCTGGACCCTCGGACCCCAAGAGGCTGTGGGCAGTGCAGGCTCTACATGCAAATTGCATCTCCCTCACCCTTTCTCAGGCTTCAACTCTCCATCCTGCCTCATGGAAGCCATCTGGCCTAGGTCCCACCTCCCTAGGCCCCAGCAGATCTGATATTCAGACCCTCCCCCAGCTCCATCGACACCACCCTCCTGCTGCCTCAGCACTCCATTCTCTGTCCCACAATATATGTGGTGGGAGTGGTTGCATGAGGCCAGTGTGAACAGAAGGGGTGCGTGGTCTCCACGTGTCCAATCACCAGTGTGAGCCCCTTGTTTATCTGTGGTTAGGTGCTTGGAATGTTTGAGATGTACTATCATCCCTCAGCCTGGTTCCCTGAGGACCCAGTGCCAGGAAGCCCCCACCCCTGAAGTGAACAAGTAGCACAAGTGAGAAATAAACCCGGGAGGCGGAAATCTTGGTATCTCAGAGTTGTCTGTTGCTGGAGTGTACTTTAGCCTGCGTGGTATGGAAAGCAACCCCTTGGCGAGGGTGCTACTCTAATACCCAGGATGTGTGCTGCCGGCTTGGGGGCTGGCTGTATGCTGCAGCCGAGGAACTTGTGGGAAAACAGCTGTGATGGCTCATGAGACCGATGACGTCCTGAATAACTTGGTCTGGTGAAGAGGTTGGGAAACATTAGCACGTGTTGGTCACCGGCTGCATTGGGGAAGATACTACTAAGATGGTTGGAAAAGTATTCTGGGTTTGTAAGCTGCGAGGAAAGGAATTGAGAAAAGATAGGGATGCAGGAATCCCCGGGCTAAGAGCACCCTGCTGGCCCCCGAGGGCAGATCAAGGTCCAGGACATCAAGGATATGGGTGTGGTCACTTCTGTTGACAGCTGAGAGCTGCTTCTGAGCTGTCCAAAGTCCACAGAGGCTGCAGGGTGGGCCCCTCTCAGCAGTGACCATCCAGGAGGGCTGCAGGCCCATAGGACTGGAACCAAGCGCATGTTGAGGCCACCACTTTGTGAGAACTGAACTGCCAAAGAAACTCAGAGCCGGGACTGAAAGTTTGGGACTAGAGACTTGCACACAGCCTTGGCAGGGGAGAGGCTGAGAAGCAGTGCAACCCCCAAGGAGGGCTTCTTGGCCAGAGCCATGTTCAGAGGCCAAGAAGACAGGATGAGGATGGACTTCTGAGGGTGGAGCCAAGGCCCCAGAGCTGCTCATTCCCGGGACAGGGTCCCTTGCAGCACCTGCCTGGCAGGACAGTGGCTGCTAGGCACCTTCTGTGTCCTCCTCCCCCAGGATGTTGTTGCAGTGGCCTGGTTTCTGTTCCCTGTAGGGAGGGTGAATGTCCTTGGGTTGAGTGAAGCCCCACCCGCCCTGGTGCAAGGCTGGTACATGGACCCCCATTCCTGGAGACTACCCGAGACCCTGCGTATGGGCTTGTGCCACGACTGGGTTGGGGGGGAGCACCTCCAGGGAGGGGAAGTCTGAAGTGCAGGGAAAAGTCAATGGGACATCTGGTGACCTGGGGGCTGGATGTGGTGGCACCAGGGTTGCTGGCCTGCCATTTCCGGTCCCACCATGTCCTGGCCCCTTGTGAAAAGGAAGCTCTGGAACTGAATCTGGCCAGTGGGCTGGGTAACATGTCACTTTGGACCAGAGCATGTAATCCTGGCATGAGACCTGTAACCAGATAGCATTGCTGCTCTGTTGGCCTGAGCCCAGCCGCCACCCTATAAACTCAGTGGCTGCATCATGGCCACAGCCCACAGCTCAGCCGTTCTTTTGGTGACGGCCTGAGTGGGAGTCCCCAACCTTAGTGCCTCTTCTGATCCCCCTCTGTACCACAGCCTCTTCAGGACCTACTCTAGTGGCCGTCACAGCCCTGCCCCCACCCTGTCTCACTCCTCTGAGGAAACACCCCACCACTCACCTCTCCCTTTTACTCCTCTGGGGTGGGGAACCACCGCTGAGAAAGGCCCAAAGGGTAGTGACAAGTGGCCTACCTTTGCTTTGGTGTCTGAGGGTCGAATGGGGCGCCCAGAGGCCTGGCCTAGGAGCTGGGAAGGCTGGCCCTTAGAGCCTAGAGGCTGCAGGGCAGAGTCAGATGGCCAGGAGTGGCTGGAGTGCAGAGGAAGACCCTTAGCCCCATCCAGCATCCTCCTGCCTCTGGCTAGGGGCCTATGTATCTGAGGATGGGCTTCGACCAGCTCCTGACCTCGCCCCAGAGCACAGGCAGATGCAAAGGACAAAGGCCGGGGTGAATACGCTGGGAGGTCATTTTCAGAGTGGAGGTTTAATGGGATATCACGGTGACCCTGTCACAGCGGTCTTCTGGGTGGCCCAGCTCTGAGCGTGGGGTCCCCAGGCCTCTCCCAGCACGGTGGGCCTAAAAAGAGCACCAGCACCACCCGCTACCTTCCCTCTGGGCACAGCTGCACTAGCCCAGCAGCCACGAGATAGACATCCTGTCCTACATCCCCTGGGGCCCGGGGACCCCTGTTCCCTGAGGGGCTAAGGCTTTCCAGGGGCCCTTCCCCAGGGATGTCCATTCTCTCCTTGGGGTCCCCTGCCCCCACACTGAGGGTGTGTCTGCATCCTCGACCCTCTGCCAGGGGCCAACCGAGGCTGCTCACCCCAGGTTCGGGGTGTAGGGCTCTGCGGGAGGCATGCTGTGGGGACAGCGCAGCTCAGGCCTCCCAGCAGACATAAGGCACAGTGTGGTGGTCGCTATGGGACTGTGGGGCCGTCACCCCAGGGGCAGAGCCCGGCAGTCAGTGTTGAGACAGAAGGACGTGGCGTGTGCTGGCTGCTCTGGGGCCTGCAGTGCAAGAGAGCTGGGGGGACCATGTCCACGGGCCTCGGCTGGCCACGAGGAAGGCCCTGGGAGAAGCCACAGGAGGGGCATGTGTGGGCCCAGGCAGAGCTCGTGGCCAGAGCCGAGGTGCAGTCATGGCAGGCCTGGGCCACAGAAGGCACAATTGTGGTGTCTGGGAGGTCTGGGCTAGGCAGACACGTTGACGTCCCTGAGAGCAATGGCGCTGCTGGGGGCCTCGTCCCCGAGCAGCAGGGCAGGCGTGTCCACGTCCCCTTCAGCTTCTGCTCCAGCACCACCCTGCTCTGCACTGGGCTCTGCGCTGGGACCCAGGCCCTGGGTCAGGATCTGCTGGATGGTCCTGCGCAGGTTGGGGTGCAGCCGGCCCTGTGTCTGGTAGAAGACTTCCAGCGCAAAGGACTTGAGGGCACCAGTGCAGAGGTCCTCATACAGCGGGATGGTGTACATGCGGGACATCTGGGCGGGGGGACATGGGTCACACCGGCTGCACTCCTGCCCCTCCTGCAGCCCACCTGCCCTGGGCCCAGACTCTCAGTGCCAAAGGGAGGGCCCCTGTTAGCCTCTCACCCCCACTATAGGCCTTCTGCAGAGGGAGCTTGGGCTGGGGGCACTGATGGGACAGGGCAGAGAGGCCCCTGTAGGCCTGGAACCGTTAGGCTTCTGAGAAGCTCAGATGCCCCTGGTGCCCAGGCTAGGAGCCCAAATGCCCATAGGCCAGGGCCAAGTGGGCCTAGACCTCCAGACTGCTCCCAGCGTGTCCCCTCTAGACACAGCCTCCCAAGGACTCTTCCCATGTGGTACCCACCCCACTGGCAACCCAGATGCCAAGCCTTCCCCACCCCATTCTCTGGGATGTCCAGCCTGAGCAGCCAGACTGGAGGGTCAGGTGAGGCGGTGAGGGTAGGAGAGGCAGGGGCCCATGCAGGTGACCACACCTGGCTCTCGAGGAAGCGCCGGACCCGGTGGAGGTCAGGGTAGTAGTCGTTTCGGACTACGATCTGCAGCCAGCGGATGCGGATCTCAGCGTTCATGGAGTCCAGCAGGGAGGAGTAGCACTTGGACAGGCTCATCACCACCTCTGCGGGGCCAAGGGCAGGTCAAGGCTGGCAGGCACACCCATCCCCGGCCACCCCAGCAGCTCCAGGACCCACCCTGGGGCAGCGGGGACCCATCCAGCAGCCTGTCCAGGAAGAGTGCCGTCTGGAAGGTCCTCCACTTGGAGATGTCGATGGCGCTGGCTGAGGCAGCTGCCTGCTCCAGGGGCTCCGCAGTCCACAGCTGGAAGAGGGCCTCCACGGGCCGGGTTAGGCTGGATCCCTGAGACAGGTCTGGCTCGGCCAGTGGCGGCCCCGTGGCATTGAGCCAGCGCTCAAACTCCAGCCCTGCAGGGAGGTGTGATCCTGGGGTCCCCACTGGGCTGGGAGGGGCCATCCAAGGCCTGCCCAGGAGTCCCCAGACCATGGGGGTATCCCTAGACATGACTGTTCCAGGGCCCAGAAGCCCCCAAGGCAGGGACAGTGTGGGGAGGCTGGAGTCAGCGCTAGCACCTGCCACTTCAAGCCACCAGGCTGGCTTCTGTCAAGGGGGCACAGGGAGGCCAGAGGCTCCAGTTGATGAGTAAGGGACTCCAGTCCCCCCTGCTTCTCCTAGACACAAGACAATGGGGCACTTAAAACCCAACCTCAGCACTGAGGGGGAAGCCCCCAAGGCAGGGACAGTGTGGGGAGGCTGGAGTCAGCGCTAGCACCTGCCACTTCAAGCCACCAGGCTGGCTTCTGTCAAGGGGGCACAGGGAGGCCAGAGGCTCCAGTTGATGAGTAAGGGACTCCAGTCCCCCCTGCTTCTCCTAGACACAAGACAATGGGGCACTTAAAACCCAACCTCAGCACTGAGGGGTAGTGGTCTGTACCATGCT